TAACTTGTCTGTTTGGACTGAGCAAGTGCATGGGGCTGCTGGAATCAGCATCTGCCAACTGCTTCCTACTCACAGGCCCTCATTTCCTGAGTTCAGCATCTTACCTCCCACTGCTCCAGATTCTGGGCTGCCACAAAGAAACACCCAGCCATGTAAAAGAGCTTCCATGCCAAGCTGTCTGAACAATGTAAAAAATGCACAAATTTAGTATTTTTTCCCCCACTTCTTTGGTATTCAAACAATCCTGAAAGCAACAAGCTCCTTTTAAAAGCAGCTAAAGCAGAAAAGGTTTCTCTGATGGAACATTTTTGCCTTTAGTTGTACTACAAGCTATTTTACAGTTCTTTCCCACAATGAAAATCTTCACACTTTGCAGAGACTTGATTCAGGCTGGGCTTCAAACCATACAGAATTTTAAGCATATATATTATTGGCAAAGTTGTAACATCACATCTTTCTCTTCTCTACAAGCAAAGGCATCTTTAAAAGCATCCACAAAACTGCCAACCTGCTGTCAAACACCAAATATTTGCGCTGCAGAGGACAAAGATAAGGACAATGAAAATTCAATAAAGCAAACATGTTTCTGCATAAAAGGAAGCAGTTGGTCCTCTTGACAAACAAACATTTGCATTTCACATCCCGAAAATGTTTACATGTCACAGCCTGAACAATTTGCTCACTCAGGCTTTTCACTGAAGGCACAGTAGATCTGTGCTGGGGTTTCAGAAAACTTTGTTGCAATGTCTTAAGAAAAACAAGGCTGATTTAGCTGGTGGCTCAAGCAGCTTTCACTGCATTTTGCTCTTTAAATAAAACTACGTGGGTTATATTGGTAGCACATTCCTACACACTATTAAAGTTTTAACATTTGATGTTAACAGGATGCAGCACAAGAATCACAGGGCAGCTTCCAGGATAAATCCCATGGATGCAAAGACAGCTGGCGTTTGGTGCAGTCTGCTGTACTGCAGGAAGCAGCAGGAGCTGTCTGACCTCTAAAGGTGCTTGGATGAGTAATCTCTGCTAGTGATGATTTGACAGTTTCCAGAGAAACAGAGAACTTCCGTCAAAGGCAAAGTAATCATTTCATTATGGTGTCAAATAATCATTACATGTCTTCCCAGGAGAGCTGTGAGGACCAGCTAATCACATTTATAAAACACTGAAAGTACAAAATGCCACAGAGTACCAATATCATTATTAAAACTACTTGCAAATGGAAAAGGAGGCTGACTAAGAAATAGAGCATTAAAGCACAGCCAGCTAGAGGGGCAACAGTTATTATTGGTTTTAATAATCACACCACAAAATGGGAGAGGAACCTCCACTGCCTTTGAAGGGCCAGACAGAAGCTGCAGATGAGTCATCAACATGAAAAACAAATCAACAGGAAACAACTCTTCAAAAAATGTGATAGGCCATTACCTGCACTATAATAAGCAGCAGCCAAACCTATGGAGGCTATTCCTAGGAGGAAAGAAAAGAGAATTAGGGCAAATAAGCAGCTCAAAAAACATCTAAAATTCCTTGGAAAAACATCACTTTTCAAAAACAGGACAAATGTGATTGCAAGATAGATGACTATATGAAAGTCAAGTTATTTTTTTCTCTCACTACTGAAAAAACTTCCATTCTGCAAAGGCATTAAATGCACAGGGGTTAGGGTCAGAAATAAAAATTTTGTTACACAACTGGGAAAGAACCTCAGAGGGACTCAAGCTAACCATGACATCATACTTTCTCAGTACAACTTGGAGTGTTCACACAATGTTTGCAATGATTATTTTCCCTTTTAAGTGGTCTATAGAGCCAAAAGAAAACTTTTGCCGTAAAGTTGTATCAGAAACTACCAGCTCCTTTCTCTCAGGAAGGAGGAGGCAGCTGAAGAGTGCCTCATGCCCCAGAGGCTGCTGCAACTGCAAAGATCTTCTCAACAACATCCCTGAAAGCAATGACAATGTGGTGTTCATGCAGTAGGATCTGCTCAGCTGGAAAGCAGGATACACCAGATTTTCCCCAGCAGCTCTCTCAGCACAATCCTAACAAGTTTATTTTTCCTGCATATTCAGTAGTGTTTATAAAGATGCCTTTCAGAACATCCTGCATGACTTCCCATTTCATAGTGTGTCCTTAGGAGCACACCACCAACCACATGCACAATCCAACCCCAGCATGGCCACACTGCAGTTTTCCACTCCTGAAAATCTAGATATCTTTCAACCTAACTATACAGCCCCTTCAGAAGCTTCACATTTCTATTGCTGTATGGCACATAATAAACCTTCTGTTCTTGATCTTTCAGGACTACCTTAAAATTTCATCCACAAGGTTCTGAGGTTCTTCAGAGGAGACTGAAAGTCTCACAGTGAAACTGCCACACTTAGACTTCAGACTCATTTAGTGCCCATGTGAAAGCAAGAGTTCAAAGCACAATCATTCCTTTTCTGGAAAGGAAAAGGCCTGGAAGGCAAGCATTTCACCAGGAGCTTTTTCAGGAGTTTATTCAGTGACCCTCTTCCCTTAAAGCAAGCTCTGAAATAAGCTGAGGAACGCTGTGGTCTTACCAACACAGAGAGACCAGGATCGGATGCCAGGTGACCTCTTTAGATGAAGATGGGAATTTGTGCGTTTTTCAACCAACATGTACATCTTCAAAAGAAACTCTCAACAGCCCAGTTTGACTCATGAAACCTCACTGGACAAAAAAAGAAAAAAAAATTAAATCATTGACAGTTCCACCAGTTCCCCTTCCTAGCATTTTTTAGGATTTAACAAGTCTTAATCCAGACTATAAAAGATACTCCAGGGTAAGAACACAGTCTTTTTGGACAGGAAGAGGAATATGTACACTGGAAACAACCACAAAGTAAAACTGTCATGTGGAGAGTTGCATAACAACAAGAATCTGAATTCTTGGAAGAAAGTTCTCATTTTGTGGGGGTAAAAGTCTCTATTAAAATCAGATTCCAGAAGAAAAATGTGAAAAACAAGAACCTGGAACAACGTTCAGCCCTTCAAGCAGATAAAACAGCAAGGGGAACGGAAATCTCTTTGACAGCATTTTTCCTGTGAGCTCAAAGGGTTGTGTGAAGGGCTAGTCTGTGACAGTGAAGCCTTCTGCACCCCTGACATGGGGTCTCATCCCTGCTGACACACCAAGAAGAGCTACAGCCAAGCACTGCCAGCATCCCATAATGCCACAGACAGCGTTCCTATCCTCCAAGCCACCCCAAGAATACAACCAGGAGCTTCCAACAAGTGTGTCTGTCCTCAACAAGACCATGCCTTCAGCCTAGGCAGAAACAGTAGAGACTAAAAAGACATGTACTAATTAAAACTAGTAAAGTTGGCTAATCCCAGGCAGTATTTTCAGTATGTTTTCACTGTTTTACAGCATAGAATCAGATCATTTAGGGTGACAAAGACCTTTAACATCACGAAGCTCAGCCACTAACCCAGCACTGCCCAGTCCACCACTAAACCATATCCTTAAGCACCTCACCTACATGTTTTGGAACACTTCCAGGGATGGTGACTGCACCACTTCCCTGGGCAGCCTGTCCCACAGAACCAGTTTAAGAAGGCTGGCATTAAGCTGCTGCTAGCTGCCCATGATAACAAGTTTCCAGAAAATGCCAACATTCATCAGGTTTTGAATAACCATGAAAAACACGGAGAGAGCAGGTCTGAGCACATCCAAGTTCTTACAAAAGGCAAATATGTGATTTGCAGTCCTTTAGTTATCCGGCTGTTCCTGGATACAAGAAGATGCTCCTGCAATTCTGGTAGTTTGGAGACAAAGCTCCAGGGGAGCAGATTTGGCCAGGTCTTTTCAGTTAAACAAAAAGCACCCAGGACTTTGATTTTAATCTCTTAGCAACACATCTGAGAGCATCTGAAACCGAAAGAGCCAAAAGCACTTATGCATAAGACACGCTCCATCTCCTCCGGATGTCAAGCACCAAATTTTAATTTTCAAATTACTCCTGTGAGTTGCTCTCAAAATACCGGAAAATACATCTGCATGCACAACGCCTTCTCCTGCCTGTTATCAAATACAAGTTATAAAATACATCAAGATCACTGCAGAAATCTTTCTGTATTTAACAAATATTATACCCTACTAAGAACATAATTCTCACATGTATCAGTCAAGTCCATTAATGCAAACTTTGATATTGCCCTCCCATAATAATTTAGCTAAGTTCAACCAGGGAAATGCCAGTTTTGGTTTAATGTTGGACACTCAACATCAGTGAGTTGTCTCTCACAGGTTGCTGCTTGAAAGAGATGGACCTTGGAAAAAAAAAAAAAGCAACAAAACAGCTTCTGAAGTTACATTTAATAAATAAATCATAAACGTGTCCTAAAGAAAACACAAAATTTTCAGTAAAACAATGCCATGATTACAGAGAAAGAGGTATTTTTGTGCTGCTCTTTCAAATTCTAAAACTCAGTTTTGCTTGAACTTGTCTGGCTTGACACTGAACTGCTCTCCAGCATCAAAACAACATTCTCATGCTCCCTCCAAGATCTAGGTTGAAAGCAAGCCAGAAAAAGCCATTGGAAGGCACACCTTGAAATCTTCCAACCAACAGCCATCAGTCAGGACCACGCACCAGGTGAATTTTCTTTACAGATCTCATTTTTTTTTACCTCCCAACCCTGCACCTGCTCCCACCCCCCTTCCACAACCTGGTCTTCCCCTCAGGGAAAGGAAAATCCTCCCCAGCCAGGGACCGGCCCTGCCAAAACCCACCCAACCCGTGGGTTTTGTTCCCCCGCGCGTGGGGCACCCAAGACCCCCCTTCACCCTCGCCCGGTGCCCACGGTACCTGCCCGGGCTCCAGCCGCGTTCTAAAGGGACCCGCGGCCGCCTCCGCGTTCCGCGCCCTCAGCGCTGGTCCCGCCTCAGGGATGGACGGACGCGGCCGCGGCCATTTTGGGTGAGGGCAGAGGATGGGACACGAACCTCCCTTCCCCTCCCGTGAGGGCGGTGCCGCGCCAAGATGGCGGCGCGCTGCCAGTACTCAGCATGGCGCCCGAGCCCGAGGATGCTGCTGAAGTAAGAGTGTCGATGTTTCCTTGGTTATTTTGCTTTAGCGGTGCTTTGAAAGAGCAGAAACCTCGCGTGGTGAAAGGAGTGAACTGCTGTAGGGTGAGGCTGGGTGTGTGGGAGAACCGTAGTGCACCCAGTTGGGACGACCCGCGATGGATGAGGTGGACATGGCCCCTTGCATGAGGGGGTCGGGGAGGGCAGGGGAGCCCCTCGCTGGAACAGGGATCCACTGGGGGCTGTCCCCAGGCTCAGGCAGGCCCTGTGGAGGCCAGGAAACCTCTTGGTTCTCGATGGCAGCACTTGAGGCACCACTGCCACAAAAGCGCTGGTGCTGTGCCTCGGCTATGGCAGAATCACAGGCTGGGGTTGGAAAGACCCTCTGGAGATCGCTCAGTCCAAGTCCTGCTGATACACCTTGAGCAGCTGGCACAGAAATGCGTCCAGGTGGGTTTGGAATGTCTGCAGAGAGGTGTTGCCGATTTTAGGAGCTCTCTAAACACAAACACAGGGTCTAGTTTAGGAGGGAGACGTTTGTTTATTCTGGGTGCAAGGTGGAGGTGTCCACAGATCAAGCACACCAAAGCTTTTAACTACTTACACATTTTATCAAAGACATTAATACTCACTGGCTACAAGTTACATAGTTCTCTTATTAATTAGCTTCTTCTGTCTTCTATTGATTAATAAAATCCAGAATTGGTAATTCTGTCTTCTATTGGTTAATGATTAACTTCTCATGCTAATAAGTCTGCATGATCAGTCTCTCCTTGTAGGTGGGTTTCTTGTGTCAGTGGTTGCAGATTCCCCCTGCCAGAATTACCTTTTGCCAGTCGGAGCTGATTTCAGCACAGCTGCTGAGTTGGCTTTATTTGCTTCTTCCTTATCTTGGAAGTTCTTGTCAGATGGCCCCTAAATTCTGCATCCTTTGTGTCCACTGCCAGTGGGCATCCTTTTTTCTCAGATTTTGTTAATTTCTCTAGGTCTGAGATCATTAAAGCATATCAATCCCTAGACTTTAACAAGGCAATTCCACCAACAAATAACTGTTTTTTTCTAACACCTGGACATCACATATATTTGCAAAGCAGAAATATGAGTGATAATCTTACAGGTCCAATATTGATGTCCTGAGTTTTGTAAATTGTACATCAGCTAAAAGCTCGAGTTTGAAAATCTGTTATTTGGGGAGGAAATTTTCTAATTTACTTGAAATACAGAGTAATTTTCCTGTGGACAAATAGGCTGCATTTGGAAAATCTTTTCTGTTTCAGTCTAACATCATTCACGTGGGGAAGCTGTTCCTGTTCAATCCATTAGAGCAACTGCTTAGGCGGCATGAGTTTAGCTGTAGTTTAGCTTAACTTCTTAAATTCCCGTTATGGCAGTCAGTATGTAACTTCATCTACAAATGATATTTGGTCCTCTCTCAGTTGCACAGGAATGTCCTTCCTGAATGAAATCCTCAATTTTTGGCTTTTTTCCGAACATGAATATATTCTCGAGTGTTTGCTCAGGGTCATGGCATGATAAAAGCTTGTTTAGCTGTTCTCAACACTATACTGATGAACTGAGATTTTGATCAATGTTTTTCATAACAATCCAGAGTGAAGATAGGGGGGAAAAACCCTGCAGAGTCCATGGTACAGACATTTAAATGTAAGTACTGGAAAATACCAACTGATGTGCAGTTTCTGTGCAAGTGTGTTAATGGGAAAAGGCAGTGAGGAGCTGCAAGAATGAATTGGCCTGCTTGTGAGTCACAAGATACCAGCTGCTGGATTTGGATGAAAAATAGGAAGTAATAAGTATCACGTGTGCTCAACCCAAACAAGCAGCTGACTGAGTCTTCTGGGAAGAAATGTATGTCTAATTAGCTGTCAATCAGTTTTTATAAGCAACTGGTTTCTGTGGAAACCAAATGCTAAGCCGTTTTGAGTGACACAAGACAAAAGATTTCTTGTGTCTGGAGCAGAGTGGAATAAGCCAGAAATTCATCTGTCCCCTCCACTCAGCATAAACCAAACAGCATATGTTTTATTATTATGTTACTAACTGCAGAAATATCAGCAACTCTGTGCTTCTCTGGTTCTTCAAAGGTCACACTAGGATAACCTGATGTGACTTAATTATGAAGTTACAGAGAAATTTTTTCAACTGTTGGAAATATCACATACATAGACACAATCAAAACAAATATGGCAAGGATCCTTGTAAGCTTCTGCTATCCATTAATGATTCTTACAGCATTCTTTCTAAAATCTTGGGATCTTACGCCAGCTCTTTGCAGTAGGTGAGTGCTGTTAAGCCTAACAATGGAAAAAAGGAAGAAGGAGCATTTTGAAAGCCTGATCCTGGACTTAAAGAACAGCATGAATTCCAAACCATGTTGCTGCAGGAACAAAGACTATTTTCCAAAATAAACAATTTAGGAATATGTGATTGACTGTAGACTTCTTCCTCAACAATGTAAAAATAGATTCTGTGGAAGTGTTTACGTTCTATTTGTGTATTGAACACACTTGTAACTTTTAAGTCATTGAGCTAGACCCAGGAACATGCAGACAGAACAGAACTGGCCTTTATTTTGAATTAAGTTGACATGTCTGTAATTCTGGTGTTTTTTCCTATTTCAGACCATTTTCCTAAATATTCTTTTCTAACTCCTTATACTTATTTTTTTCTGCCCTAAGGTCTTAAATTTAGGAATTCAGCTATGCAATAAGCATGTGATCTTACTAACATGCCAGGATAAATTCCCAGAGTGCTTGGTTGGAATCAGCCACCAAATGCTTTGGCTGTGAGTCCTGTTAGAAATGAGCTCATCCCACAGAACGAGCTCTCTGTGGTGCCCCCTGACCTCGGTGGGAAGAGTGTGTGTGCAGCCTGCAGAGCACAGATTTCATGGAATACATATTTGCCAGCTGTAGCCAAGATTTATTGCCCAATTCTGACAGCTGTGGAGTGGCATGTGCTGTCACTATGGCAAGGAGGCATTTACAGCTGGCACTGCCCTGCAGGACTGATGCAAAGCCTGTAACACTTTGCAGTTGTTTGCAGCACACTGTTTTCACAGTGATGCCTCTAAGTGCTACCTGCTGCTGGCATAGGGAAGCTTTTAGAGAGCGAGATTTTTGGGAAGCAGCCCTGCAAAGGTGGTAACTGTTACCTCCCAAGGGCAGATTAAAGCAGGATGGTGCTTTCTTGTCTCAGGTTGTCAGGCCTACTGTGAAGGTTGATCAAAGATCCACTGTTTTGTGGGAAAATGGCATGGATACTTAATGCAAAGCACAGAGTGCTCTTGGCAATAAAATAAATTAGACATCTACTAATCTAATGGTTTCACAAATATAATCTTATACTGTGCACTGAAACAGAGATTCTTTGCACACTCTTATTTATATAAGTTTAAGCTCTTTTTGTTTGAATTTTTAAATTGAAATTCAGTCCAAGTATTCCTAAGATGAAGGATGAAATAGGGATACTTAATGTATGTACTTAAGATGTCCTCCATTTTCTGCAAAATGCTTCAATTTCTTTGCAGTTCTCTGGTTTTCATTGTGAATACGAGAAATACAGGGGGAAATTTAGCCCTTTGATAATGTGCAGAAGAATGTGTTTAATCCAGTCATGTAACAGATGACTAACTTAACCAGAAACATTCAAGGCTAGGTTGGATGGGGCTTGGAGCAACCTGGTCAAGAGAAAGGGGCATTTGGACTGGATGACCTTCAAAAGTCCATTCCAACTCAAACTCCTCTGCAATTCTGTGAAATAAAAAGTATTTTAAATATGATCTGTGCAGTTACAGAAATACCCAAAACTGACATGTCTTTTGAAGCATCAAATCATCAGTTTTGGATAATAGATATAAGTATAATCAGAGTGTGAAACAGGAAGATTTTAGCTGTGCCTGTAAGTGCAAATCTCAACACATTTCTAATTTAGAATTTTCATCTATCCTATCACCTTATTGGTCAAGCAACTATAGCTGTTGTATCCTGGTGGAATAAGGTGGGAGGTTGGCACAGCTTTTCTTGTATGAAAATACTCCTCCACAGGAACAAGAAAGATGTCAGATAATGCTGCACTCGGGCAAGTGTGTAGGAAATGTAAATTCTTAGGTCACATAGAAATTGCTCAAGAGTGGTTGTGGTGCTTTTAAAAAGCTTGGGCTAATATACTAATATGAAATGTGAGAGCATTTTGAATGAAGAGAACAAAGACACAGAAAATTATCACCAAAGCTATTACAATTTTTACCTCAAGCCAGGATTAGTGATATTTTTCCAGGGTATATGTAAAGCAGCATCAGCTTACTTTTCTTTGAGTGGTCAGTATGAAAACATTTCTGTTTGCTTTCATTGTGGTTATTAAGGAATTCTTAATTTCTCTGACCTCGATGATAACTCATCTGTAGTCTGCAAATTAAAAAAAGCACTACATTCTTCTCAGAGTTATCTTTAGCAGCCTTAAAATGGAACAAGCATTTAAAGTTGTGTCCTTGGCTAACAAACCTCTCTGATCATGCCTGTGTCCAGCCCTTGTGCTCTAAAACCTTCTGTGGCTTAAAGCATTAGAGGTCACTGTAACAGGAGGGGATTTACCCGGTGTTATAGAAAAGTTGCAGTTTAGGCAGGAAATTGCATGTTTTTTAGAAGTTCTGTGGTTTAATTTATGAAATGTAATTTTACACTTGAAAAACTTCTCTGTGTATCCGTAGGCATTTGCTTGTTACGTGTGTGTTCATGTGGCCGGGGGTTAAAAAAGGAGCAAAATGTTGATTGAACCTTTCTGTCTAAATCCTACAACCTGCGGTTCAGAAAGGCAAGAAATCATAAGCGTCTTGATTAATACTCCGGGGCCTTTGAGACTGTGGAAGGCTGATGTCCGTTTAAAAATCCTGTTTGTGAGGATTTGTGATGCCTGCCTGGGAACAGCATCGCTGGTACTTGGGTTTTGTTACAGAAATGAGAGATCGCAGCATATTGCTTAAATAAAATGGTGATGATGCTGTATTTAGTAATTCGCAGAGTGTCATTTCACTTTAAAGCTATAGGGAAAACAACAAAAATGGGGTGGTGGGGGGGGACCCTTTGTACGATATAACAGAGGAGCGCGTTTTAAAAAATACGCAGGGACGCTCCAGAGAAGCAGCGAAGCCTCGGGCACAGCCCCGCCGCGGAGCCGGGCGCAGCTGCCTGGCGGATCACTGCGGCCCGGGGGTCCCGCTCGGGATGGGGATCGGGACTGGGATCGGCACGGGGGAGTCCCTCCGCGTACGTGCGGCGGCGCAGGTCCGCAATG